CTGGTCCGCAAACCAGGGTTGACTAAGGGGGAGGCCAGTGACATAGCCATTACGCCATCTGCTGGTTATATATATATATATATAATTTTTAAAAAGAATTATTATTATTTTTAAAGTTTGATCAGAGAGAGAAAGAGAAGGAAAACGAGAAAACAAGCTGCCAGGTCAGAGACTTGGACCGTGGTCAGCCGTATGGGAGTCCAGCACGCTAACTACTTCACCTACCAGCTCTAAATATATATTTGTAAATCATAGGATTAAAATGCAGATGTGAATCCTGCAGCAAAGAGGAGACTCCTTTGGGCTGTAATTCATTCTGTGTGTTGAGATCTTGGTTCATCATCTTTATGTGAGGCTGATCTGCATCATGCCCTTATTTGAGAAAACCTTCAAGTGACTCAGTTGTTGTCCTTGCCCTCCTCTCTGCCTTTGTGAGTTGGGCTTCGACTATCTCTTTTTATGGATAGAATTTTTTTATGCTGATGCAGGTTTTCTCTGGCTGGCAGTTTAATGTGGAATTTGTATTTTGTTGTAATACACAAATATGGCCACACGAGGGCAGAAGTACACCATAATATTGCTCTAAAATCTCCTTCCATAGGTATTTACAACTCTCATTTAAGTAATAATATACGTAAAAAAAAAAAAAGTTGCATACCATTTATTAAGTGCTGTAAATGAAGGCACTTATATATTTAGATATACTTACACATACATAAGTATAGAATTTTTTTAATCATCAGAGATAATCTATACTCCCTAGAGAAAGACAGAGACAGAGACACAGAAAGAGAGAGAGAAAGGGAGAGAACACTCCCCCCAGTGGGGTGTGATCAAGTCACAATCCCCTCTCCTCCATTTCCTCCTCCTGTTAGAATCTTGGGCATGCATATGCACGTGCCTGGTATTTTTCAAAATGCCAGGGCTAGGATTTTGGTTTTTGTCTTTTAAATTTGCTAAAGGGTGTGTTCACTTCCCAGAAAGAGAGAGAGAAAAAGTAAGAAAGCACCTCTCCTATGGGGGAATGGCCATGCTGCAGTCCCTTCTCTATTTCTCCTTTGGGGCTTTTGGGCGCACACACACACACACACACACACACACACACACACGTGCACCTGGTTTGTTTCCCAAACTGCTGGGTCTAAGACCCGAACTGTGCAGTCAGCCATGTGGGGCCCAGCCACCAGGTGGCCCAGGTCTGGGATTTGAGCTGCTGCTGGCCACATGGGATCCACTTCTCTTAACCACTAGGCTATGGGGCTGCCCCATAAATCCAGAGGTTTGACAGATTTTGAGGTGTCTAGGGAGACACCATTTTGGGGGAGTGGGGGTGATTGCTAGTGGCTCTGAAGGGACATCTGCTTGACACATCTGCAGCTGCGATGCTGCCTTTTATGTTCCCAGCCTGTCTCTTCAGAGACGTTCCCTCCCCACTCTGTGCTATACCCAGCCTTGTCACTGTGCCTCAGGATGCAAAGCCATGTGCCATGTGGCTCAGACAAACCCAGGTTAATTTACAGCACTGAGCCACCAGGGGTCATTCGCCCCATCCCCTTGGGGTTCCTGAAGACTTGGTATAAACTCTGGACCCTGTGGCCAGAGAAGACAGGAAGCAGAGCGCTAACAGCCATGAGGGACATAATGGTTTAGTTTGCTTGTTCTGAGTCCTCTCTGGGATTCCAGACAAGGCATTGTGGTCTAAGCTGAGCAGGAGGTGCTGAGGGCTGCCTTAGAGAAGGAGAGGCCCTGGCTCATTAGGGGTTTGGAGCTGGAGTGGGCAGACAGACAGGTGGTTATCTACTACCATCTACAGGGCGCTGCAAATGCATCTGTGCCACTTTGCTTCCCCTTTATAGTGTGTTAGGTGGGGGCTCAGCGAGGCTCAGCACTTGGTCCCAGGTTAGCCAGCCAATGGGTGCCAAATTTAAGATTCAAACCCAGGCATTTCTGACCTGAGATTCCCAAACCCCATCATGATGTAAAGCATTCACCCAACAGCGCCTATTCTTCTAAGGGCCCCAAGAGGGCAGCGTGGAGGCCTGACGGCTCTCTGGGTCCTGGACTGACTGTCCTCTCTCTCTCCATCCCCAGGAAATCTCCCCTGGCCAGCTGAGCCTGGAGGAGCTGCTGGAGATGACTGATGAGCAGGTGTGCGAGACCGTGGAGAAGTATGGAGCCAACCGCGAGGAGTGCGCCCGCCTCAACGCCTCCCTGACCTGCCTCAGGAACGTGCACATGTCAGGTGAGCGGGCTCAGGGTGGGTGACAGGGTAGGTCACCCTGCCCATGAGCAGAGATGGGCCTGGGGTGGGGTGTGGAGGCTGGAAGCAGCGGGCAGGCTGGGACTTTTGTCCAAGGAAGGCCTGCTGAGGTCACAGGGCTTTGGGGTCTGAATGTGGAGATACCGTGTGCCGTGGACAAGAAGGATCTTTTTACTTTAGACACTCTAAAGCTTTTTTATATTTCTGATCAGTGTCTAGCTCCTTTTTTTTTTTAACATAAATTGTATGTATTTTTTAACATAACTCAGAAAATAGATTTTAAAATAAAACACCCTATCTCCTAGGGACTTGCTGTTGCCTTTTTTTTTGAACAGGTTTTTGCTATAGGGCACGTGTGCTCACCAGAAAGAGAGACAGAGAAATAGAAAGCGAGAAATCACCCCCCAGGGGGGACGGCCATGCTGCAATCCCTTCTCCTCCATTCTCCTCTCAGGATCTTGGGCACGCACGCACATGCGCCTGGCGTGAGTTTAAGCCACCAGGTCCGGGACTCAAACTGCAGTCGACTATATGGAAGTTCAGTGACATAGCCATTACGCTAACTGCTGGTCCCTGCTGTTGTCATTTTGATGTTAAGTTTTGTTATAATACTTTCAGAAATATGAGTGTATGTATACTTTTAAAAAATAATACAATTAGGGGCTAGCCAAGTAGCATGGTAGTTAAAGCAGATGGATCCCACATGGCTGAGTATGTGGTTTGAATCCTGGACCTGGAGGCTTGAAAAACGATCAAGACCCATGTGGGTGGATGCCCAAAATCCTGAGAGGAGAATGGAGGAAAAGGGATTATAGTGTGGCCATCCCCTCTGGGATTGCTTTCTCACTTTCCATCTCTTTCTCTCTCTGTCTCTGTCTCTCCAGTGAGTTCATGTGTACTCTAGCAAATTAAAAAAAAAAAAGAAAACAAAATAATACAATTAGGATATACATATTCTTTTGAAATTTATCTCTCTCTCTCTCTCTCTTTTTCATCTAACAAAATAACCTCTGTAACTTGGTTTATAAGTTTGGGTTGAAATATATTGTCATCTCTCCTGGACCTTTCCCATTAATTGCTCAACTATTTGTTTGCCTTTATTAATTATTTGAACACCTGTGTTCAGTCATTCCATATCATCCTCTTGATTCTCTCTAGGCTCATGATTTTTCTACAAATCCTGGGACCATTCAGTCCCAAGGGATCAGTTTTGCAAGCTCCAGCGAGGGAGGTGGTCCTGGCTCACCAGCATAGTTGTTTCCATTTTCACCCAAGGTGTCCCTGTTGAATGAGCCTGGCCGAGTCAGGCAGATGCCTACTCACAGATGTCCGCCTTGATATCGCTGAGTCTTACAGAACATAGGGTTTTACTGCTGCGCCATTGTCCAGTCCCCATGTGCATATTCTCTCTTGCTAGCAGATCCTGACCTGGGCTACATTAACAGCGAAAGGGACCATGCACTGGGGCTGACCTATGCACTGAAGGATGTTTGTTTAGTGGTATCCCTGACATCTACCCGTGAGATACCAGTGACACCCCCACTCCCACTCATGGCTCATAGAAATGTCTCCAGATATTTCCTGATGTCCCCTGGAAGGCAAAATCACCCACCCCAGCTGAATATTATGAGGGGCATGTTATTCCTTACCTCGAGTAAAATGCTATCAACTCATCCAGGCATTGCCATGGCAAAGGGGGGCCTCTCAGTCACTCAGCATGCACAGAATCTGCCCCAGGTGACGTCTTTCTCCCTGCGGTGAGAAGCACCTGGTGGTTTTCTCTCCTTTAAAAAACTACACCCCAGGGCCAGCAGGTGGCCTAGTGGTTAAAGTACTGGAGTCCCTCATGGCCAACCGACCATAGTTTGAGTCCTAGATCTGACAGCTCGAGGAAGTTACGCTGCATGTACGTGCGTGCGTGCCCAAAATCCTGAGAGGAAAATGGAGAAGGAATTGCAGTGTGGCCAGTCTTCCTGGGGTGTGTGTGGAGGGAGGTGTGATTTCTCACTTTTCCTCTCTCTGTCTCTCTCCAGAGAACACACAAGCCCTATGGCCAAAACCTAAAAAAAAGCCCGCTTGTACCTCCATCACCAGTGCCCTCCAGCCTTTCTCTGTCCTCAACTCACTCTTCTCTACCTTCGTCCTAGCTTCTTCTCTTTTTCTCTCCAAGGGGACCCTGAGCTGCAGCCTTTCTAATTCAGCTAATTCTTTGTCTTTGTCTCCCTTCTCTTTGAGCCACTGTCTCCCTCAACATGGCTGCTGCTTCAGAGCTTGTTTCCTCCTTCTGTCTGGCTGTTCTTAGGAGGGGGCCTGCCTTTCCCTGGTCCCTCCCCCAAGAATTTATCCATGGCACACAGCCTCACTTGCGCTCATGAGCACTACGGAGCCAAGGTCCTTGGGCGACGTAGATAGGGCACCTGAAAGAGCGCGTTCTTGGTGTTTGCCCCCCACCTCCCCCCGGCCCCCTCAGTGCAAGGCTGGAGACCTCGGGATCAGCACAACCTCGAGCTCCGCGTCACAGCTGCCTGATCAGAGGATGGCTGCTCTTTGCCTGTATTCCTGTCCTCCTTTCTGTTTCTCCCCACTCTTATTTTGAGCCTTTTGGTTGTTTTTTAGCCTAATTATTTGTGGTCCTTGTGCCTTCATTTTCCCAAGAATAAAACCCAAGTGTGCGCAATGGAAGATCTTGTTATCTTCCCTTTTCCCCTTCCTGCTTCCTTCCTCTTCCCCTTCCTGATTCCCTCCCAGCCATACATATTTTTCACTCACGACGCACCTGACACTGTGCCGGGTTCTAGGGCTCCAAGACTTTCTCAGGGCTTCTGGGTTGAGCTGAGACCTAAAAGAGGAGGAGGAGGAGGAGGAAGAAGAGAAGGAGGAAAAGGACTTCTAATGGCAGGGACTGATGGAGCACACGAGGTGGTGCCCTGTGGCTAGAGGGAGGGCACGCTGTCAGGCATGGAGAGACCAGTGTGGCTGCCCACAGGGATCTGGGGAGAGCAGCGGGGCTGAAGCCAACAGCTGGGTGGGACCAGCCTCCGCAGTAGGCCTGGACTAGGTGCTTACACAAAAGGGTTTTGAGCAGAAGGTACTCAGATTTTATTTATTTATTTTTGCTGTAGTGCTCTTGTGCACACCAGAGACAGAGGAGAGAGAGAGAGAAAAGAAAAGAAACAGAAATCACTGCCTCAAGGGGGGTGGGGGGGCTGGCCATACTGCAATCCCTTCTCCAGTCTCCTCCTGGGAGTTTGGGCACACACACACACACACACACACACACACACACACACCCAGTGCGATTTTCAAGCCACCAGGGTCCAGGATGTATACCACGTAGCTGGTCATGTGGGATCCAGTGCCTTAACCTCCGTGCCACCTGCTGATGCAGGTGCCTAGATCTTTTGTCCAGTTTTCAGACATTCTGGCTGCAGAGCAGGAGGGTGGCTTAGGGCAGGGTGAGACATGCCAGGATGTCCACTAGAGGCTTAGGGCGCCATGCAGGTCCAAGAGCAAAGGTCATGGTGTCTCTGGCAGACAGGGGTCGCTGCACCAGGCAGTCTCTGGAGCTTCTTGCTTGGTTGAGCCCTCTCTGGCAATTCCTTCTGAACATCAAGGGGGAGAGCAGGCAGCCAGGAAAATAACAGGATGCAAAGTGGCCCCAAAATAGGACAGCCTCACATGCTCTCTGGCTTCTTCCCAGTTTGGGCTTTGAATGAAGCCCACCCGAACCCCGCCTTCTACTGTGTACTCTTCCTTTGAGGAGAACAAAGACTAAGAGTGGGTCTTGATTGCCCTATTGTTCCACTTCTTCTGACTTGGGGAAGGCTGGCCAGGCGAGGGAGAGTGCCCCTCCCAGAGCTCACAGGGCTCCTGAATTTTGAGTTAATGTCCTTCCTTTCCCCTGTACCTGCTCCACCCTCCTGCTCCGTGGCTTCTCAGGGATCCCTTGCATGTGCGTAGCACGGCATTAGGTCTCTCCCTTGTAAAGGACGGAACCGATGTAAACACACAGACACACTTGGCTCATTTATTCACTCCGTAAATACTGACGGAATTTCCCCTGCTTTGGTCACTGTGGGGGACTGGGGAGTGAGTGGTGAGAGAGGCCTGCTGTTCTCCACCTGCACCTTGGACCTGAGCTGTCCTAGTAGGGCAGCCACTAGACCATGCGGCCAATTT